ACAGTATATATATATATATATACAGTATATATATATATATATATATACTGTATATATGATGATATATATATGATATATAAATATGATATATATATATGATATATATAWATATGATATATATATATGATATATATATATGATATATATATATGATATATAWATATGATATATATATATGATATATAAATATGATATATATATATGATATATAAATATGATATATATATATGATATATAAATATGATATATATATATATGATATATATATATGATATATAAATATGATATATATATATGATATATAAATATGATATATATATATGATATATAAATATGATATATATATATGATATATATATATGATATATAAATATGATATATATATATGATATATATATATGATGTATGCATTTTGGGTATAGTATTCAGGGTTAGAGACAGGTATTAGACACCATTAGTTTATATATATATTATTATAGTTTATCTGATTGAACCATACATTCAAATTTTTTTTGTTTGGTGCATATAATTTGTAAATAATATTATTAATTAATTAGACTCAACATTATTGTACTATTGATTAATTTTTATGATTAATTGTAAAATTGTAACTATAGATAATAACATTGACATTACAAAAAGTATCTAGTATTTATCTAGTTAATTTTACGATTAATAAATAAAATGATCAATGAACAATAATGTTTGAGTTTCAAAAATATTATTATCTATATAAATATGCCCTTGATATAAAAATTTTTTTTCTCCAAAATAAAAAAAATGTATAGTTTTTTAACAGATATTTAATATATATATATATATATAAACTAATTGTATCCCAAAAAATGCATACACCATATACTGTATACCATAAATAAAAAATAATTAAATATTTAACTGATTAAAATAATTTTAAATATATTTTATACTATACAACAAAACAACAAAAATAATTTATTAATTTATAAATGATTTTCTTGTTGTAAAAATGTAAAATATTTTTTATAATAAGTAATAATAATAATAGATTTAATTAATAAATTAACTAAAATTTTAGTTATTTTTTAATTATAATACTTGTTATACTAATATATATATATATATAATATTAATTTTTTTCAACAAAAAAAATATATATAATTAAATAAATATTTTTTTACCAATATTTCCTGTACAGTAATATTTGACATAAATGTTATACATTGAAGACTATCATCAATGGTTTGCAAGTCCTCTATACGATCGATAACAGTGTACGGGTTGTCAATAGTTATCGATAAAATCATTTGATTGAAAAAGTTTAGTATAAAAAATTTTCCTAACAATAAACTGCCGATAATTGCCAGATATTCAATGGATTTATTTGTGATATTAAATGCTAAATAAAAATTTAGGGGAAAAAATATATAAATTAATTATTTTTTAAATATTTTTATAGTGCTGTAATTTTTTTTAAATAAATGTATCAATATATATAATTATTTAATTATTAATAATAAACTTTTATAACACTATATATATAGTATTATAAAGTTTGTTATTAAAAAATAATTAAATATTTAACTGATTAAAATAATTTTATATATATTTTATACTATACAACAAAACAACAAAAATATATATTTTTTAAATTTATAAATTATTTTTGGTGTAAAAATGTAAAATATTTTTTTATAATAAGTAATACTAATAGATTTAATTAATAAATTAACTAAAAATTTAATTATTTTTTAAATTATAATATAGATATATTACTTGGCATAAATAATGCATAGATAACTGTCCAAAATTGATTAAACAATAAACTGGGTAACTTTTGTAAACATGATGATGATTGATTAATTTTACGTAGTTTTAAACCAATTAATTGAATTGCTATTAAAATTAGTGTAATTGTTAGTATTGTTGCGATTAGCGATAACCAAACCTACAGTAGAAACAAATTAAAAAAACAAAAAAAAAACATTTTATACAATAGTTAGTAAATTTTATGATTATATAAAAATTATTACAAATTAATAAATAAGTATTAAATACTACTATTATTTATTTGTTTAATACATTTATGTTATAAATTTTGATAAAACCATCAAACGGGTTGTGTTTAGTGTTACGATATTTACCGCCCATAATGGCCAGCGCCGGGCTAATAATAGGTGTGGCCACACCCCCGTTATCTAACATAAAGTCATCAATGTCCAATTGATCTAAGCTTATATCTATTTCCTAAATATATAATAATAATAATAATACCTTTAATTAATAAGTTATCTAGTTAAAAATAATAAATAAATAAATTATTAAACAACATATTAAATTTAAAAATAACTATAAATTATATAATTAAGTTATAAGTTATATTATTTTTAGTTTAGAATAATAAAGTACTAATAATAATAATAATTAAATATAAAAATTAATTTTATATATGTTTTAATTAATATTAAATAAAAAACTATAAATAATAAAATTAAGTTAAAAAATATTATTTTTAGTTTATAATAATATAGTAATAATTAAATATATACAATTAATATTTAACCTTTAATTAATAAAATAATAATATTATATATAAGCTAGTTAAAAATAATAAATAAAAACTATAGTAAACAACATAATAAATTTTAAAAAAAACTATAAATTATATAATTAAGTTATATGTTATATTATTTTTAGATAATAATAACAATTAAATATATATAATTAATAAAAAAATATACATTTAAATATATTAATGCCATTTGTGGCCTAATATTGATATTATTTTCAGGATTATTCATCGATAGTCTATCATCAATCATAACAGGTATAGCTCTAAATTAAAATACAAATTAGTAAAAAAAAATAAATAATTAAATAAAAATATTATTAACTTTTAATTAGTATTAAATTATTAACTTTTAATTAATATTAAATTATTATCTTTTAATTAGTATTAAATTATTAACTTTTAATTAGTATTAAATTATTAACTTTTAATTAGTATTAAATTATTAACATAATTATTATTATTAAGTATAAAAAAGTATATATTATAAAAATTTATTTTATATAAAAAAAATATTTAAACAAATTAATTATATTTAATTTAATAATAATAATAATAATTAAAATAAAAAATTATTAGTTTTTTTTAAATTTAAATATTACTCAAATTTTGTACGTTTAACCAATAGTTTTAGTATATCGTATAGTGGACTACATAATAGTTTTAAATTGGAATTTTCAGACTAAAAAAATAAATAAATAAATCAAATAAAAATTTAAAAATTTTTAACTAAAATTAAAAAATGAAATTAAATACATTTCCTTCCCAAACAAATGTAAAATTGCCCCTGGACACAAAATCATAGCCAAAATTAATTGTTTCACCAGTTTTATAGGCAATTGTTTCATCGCAAACAAAATTAGCTTTTTTAATATTAAACATTTAAAAAAAAAAATTTTTTATTAACAATTAATTTTTTTAAAATTATATAAACATAATAAGTACAGATGAGATATGAAAAAAATAAAATATTAAATCTTAATAAAATAAAATTTATTTAATATATATATATATATAATTTTTTTTGTTAGTTTATTAATCTAAATATTTAATTCATATAGTATTTAATTTACATATAAATAATTTGTAGATAAATTAAATTAACATAAATACTACTTTTACTCTCAATTTTATCAAATTCTATAATTAAATTATTTATGTATTTATTTAATAGTACTTAATAAGCGTTACATAAATCAAAAAAAAAATAATAATTTTATCCAATAGTATAATAGAGTCAATATTATATAAATATATTAATATTATAGGTGCATATCGAAAAATTATTTTTTTTTTTTATAAAACTTAAGTTTTATAAATACATAGTAAAGTAATAACTTAATTGATATTCAAAATATATATATAAAAAAAAGTTGCACTAAAAAAATTAATTTTTTTAAATATAGCTATTATAGTAATTATTGTATAATAATAATAATAATGAGTTTAATATTACAATTAGTTATACAAATTGAATAATTAATAGTCTACTATATATTACTAACTAATTTAATACTTTATTATATATATATATATAAAAATTGAAAAAAACATAATATAAAATTATATAATATTATAATTATGATAAACTTATATCATTTAATTAGATAAATATTATTATACTGTTTTAACCTATTTTTGAGTTTAATTTTTATTATTATTTTTTTAAAAATAAAAAAAAACTAATAAACCACACATAAAACATATATTAGCATAAAATTATGTTATAGTAATATTAAGGTCATATTATAAAATATTTTATTTTATTTTTTTGAAAAAAGTATCTAGGTTCAATGACTGGCATAAATTTAAATTAACCTACCTAATTAGTTAAATGAATCATATATATGATTAATATAGATAATTTGTTTGTTTATGATAATCAATAATGAATATTATTATTATTATTATTATTAGTAATTATTAGTAATTTTTTATTTAATGACTTGTTTTATTTAAATATTAATTTATTAATTAACTTTATTTTATATTTTAATTAACATGACTTCAACAACAACAACAACAACAAAAAATTAATATAAAATTTTTTTTAAAAAATAAATAAATTAGGTCTAATTGTGTAATACCATAAACAACGATATAATTAAATTTGATAATATTTTTTCAAAATTAAATTACCTAGTATTTAGTGTTAAAATTTTTTTTATAGAAAAATATTACAATATAATGGTAAGTTAATTGATTTAATATATATTTAATATAATAATTTTTTTAAATATTTCTAATCAATTATTATTATTTGTTTTTTTTAATTAATTAATTAATCAAAAAAAAATAGATATTATTGTTGAAAACTAAATCAATTTTATGGATATATCTGATATCATATCTAATTATAACACAACTATTATCAGTCAATTATTGCAAACAAATATCAAAACCGTCGGAACACCAGTCAAAACACGTGAATATCCGTAAAAATGCTAAACACATGACCCGTGAGGAATGGGATGAACTGAAACGTGGTATCAGTCTGATGAAGATGCGGTCCGTACGCAACCAATACGACCCGTTGGGCTGGTATTTCCAGTCAAACATACACGGCTGGCCAAAATACGATGCCTCGGCCGGTGCCCAGTCTATGGTCAACAAACATAACTGGCACCGGTGCCAGCATGGTCACTATTTTTTCCTACCCTGGCATCGGATGTATTTGTATTTTTTCGAGCGTATCCTACAGAGGGTTACCGGCAACCCCAACATGACTGTCCCCTATTGGGATTATTTTGATCCCGAACAACGGGCATTGCCCGAGACGTTTCGGATACCGCCCGACACCCAACATAACCCGCTATATGTACGCGAACGATGTCGGGCCATAAACTCGGGTATGCCGTTACGGGAGGAAAATGTATCGCCAGTACCGGCGCTGAGCGCATCGTTTTTCGCTACCGACGACCGTATCGATCAGTTTCACGTATGCCATGCGTTCGGCGGTGGCCAGAGTCAGCCGAAAATTATTGCCCCCAAACAGGGTCTACTCGAACGGATACCGCACGACAACATACATATGTTTATCGGCGGTCCGAACGGGTTTATGTCCGACGAGTGTCGGGCCTCGAGAGACCCGATTTTCTGGTTACATCACAGCCAAATCGATCGGCTGTGGGAATCGTGGAAAGCTATGGGCGGTTCGGGACCGGTAGCCGTCGATAATAGCGATCAGTTTTACAATCAGACGTTTGACTTTTACGACGATAGTGGTCGCCGTAAAACCTATCGGGTATCGGATTTTATGGACACCGCAAAATCGTTGAACTATCGCTACGATCGGCTATATGTGGCCGAAAATCAGGTGAAAGTCCGCCGAAATGTTACTAAAATACCCGATGTATTTGTTACCGCCCGACAACGTAATGAAGCCAAACTGGCCATTGTTCCCGTCGAACAAATGTCTATACCGTTGGAACTGGAGCCGCGCGGCCGTAAACTATTTGAAAAGTTGGCCAAATCGGCGGATCAATTACCGAAACTACGGTTTTCATTACAGCTAAACTTCAATTATATCGATAGCACCCATATCTATAATATGCATATGAATCTACCCAACAGTACCTACCCGTATGAAAATCCACCCTATTTTCTCGGGTCACTGGTCTATTTTCAGGCCAACTGTGTCCCATTAATACGGCGGGAATTACGCCAAATAAAAAAATGTTTCGACATTACCGACAATGTTAAACTCATATTGAAACAAAACTATCAGTTTTCGGGGACAGTTATCCAGGATATTAATATAACATTTGTACCGAAAACATGCGACGATATAGTATTGTTTCATCATAAACGTGGCACAGGTAGTAGTAGTGGCTCAGGTAGTAGTGGTAGTAGTAGTTTAGATACTATGATCCGATTCAATGAGATTCATTTGATACATTATTTTAGCAAATAATTATAGTTTATATTATATATAAATAGTTTTTAATTTGTAGATTTAAGTTGTTTTTTATTTTATAAAAAAAATTTTGATTAATAATTATATTTTATTTTTTTTTTAAATTTTATAATTGTTTTTCTATGATTAGACTTTTATGAATGTATATTTTTTTACAGTATTTATTAAGTTATGTGTGTGTGTGTGTGTGTAATGTAATTAATTTAATTAGTTATACAATAAAGATTTTTTTTGACAGTTAAAAAAATTAATTATTAAATATAAATATGTTATTAAAATCAATATTTTTGTTGTTTAATTATTTATATTTAACATAATAATAATTTCTATTTTTTAAATAAAATATTTTAAATTAATTATAAAAACATCAAACAAACAAAAATTTACACTATTTAGTAGCTAAAATTTAATAAGTATTTTATTTTATAAAACATTGTTAATACATTGGTTATATTAGAGTTGGATTATTATTTATTAATACAGTATTATTAAACTTACTATTATTAATAAAGTGAACACACGACTTGAAACTTGACTTGAGTTCAAGTCAAGTCTACTTGGATAAGCATTAGTGTGAACGCAGCTTTATATTAGAGTTGGATTATTATTTATTAATACAGTATTATTAAACTTACTATTATTAATAAAGTTTATAATTATTTAAAATAATAATAATATTGGATACAAAATATACTGTACTTTATACAGTGTATAAAGTACTGTATATATTATATGAGAAACTTTTGGGGGAGGTGGTGGGGGTATAGGTATGGATATACAAAACGGTCTATCTACTAATTAACATTATCTAATTTGATAGCATTTCTAAGCAGTAGTGGTGAAAAAGCACAGTATAATCGGGGGGGGGGGGGGGTCGTCTAAAATTTAGTTATATCTAATATAAAAAATGTTATTAAAATTTAAAAAAAAAATAATTATACTTATGTTCACACATATAAATTTTTCAATTAATTATATGATAATTATAATAATTAATTATGAATTATTTGTAAAGTATCTTTTAAAAAATTTTTTATTTTGTATTATTAAAATAAATATATATATATATATAAAATAGTATTTTAAAAAAATCATAGTATTGAGAAAAATAATATTACATAGAATATAAATTTACATTAAAAATCAATAATAATAATAATAATAATAATATTACATAAAGTATAGTATAAAAAATAAAAAAAACTAAAAAGTTTTTACAGTTTACTATAACAACAAAAAATATTAATAATAATTATAAATATTAAGCAATTAAATAAAATCATTTTTTTTATAAAAAAAATACCAATTAATTAATATGTTTGTAATATAATGATATTATTTTTTTTAAATAAAAAACAAAACATGTATTTAAAATATAAGTATAAAATAATTTCTAATATAATATAGATATTAATAATAATAATAAACTAATTAAATGAATGAATAACTATAACTAAATAAAATTAATTAAAAAATTACTAAATTAATTAACTAATTAATTAAATTTAATTTAAAAGTTAATAATATTAAACGTATGACACTTCGGCATTTCGGACTTCAATTTATCGGTAAATTGGACAGCAATATAGTCGCCAAAGTTGACCACTCGTACGTACTGAAGCCGTGGCAATCGGGACAACGACCGGAGCCGATTCATCGGGAAACCGGCACTGACTATACCGACCAGCGACTGGAGTTGTGGCAGATTGTGGCCAATATCGTCGTCGTCGTCGTCGCCGAAAAACTGGTCGCGCAATGACTTACCGCGAACACTGAGATGTGTTAGTCGCGGAAAATTGCGTAACAATTTAGTGGTCACATGACAATCGTATCGTGAATAACGTAGATTCAGATACAGTCGCCGCAGCCGACGGCCAGTGTTTATGGCCAACGACTTGAGTTCTTGGCTCATATGTTCGGCCGACCCGAACGCCATTTCCAGACTAACCGATTTGAGTTTCGGACATTTATCGCCAATCAGATGCCAGTGATGGCCAATGTAGGCCGAGTGGTGGTTTGATGATCCGCTATCGCCGCCAAACTGCTGGCCGTAATTGCGGGTCGATATCTTCAGTTTGGACAGTCCGGGCATTTGCGACAAACCGGTAAGYAATTGATTAACCGATTCATCCGTACACTGGTCGCCGACTAACGTTACCGAAACTGATTGCATCGATCGGCAATAGTTGGCAATAAATCGCTTATAACTGTTGACCGTATTTACCGTAAAACAAAACGTCAGACTATTTAAGTAACGAAACATTGGTTCAGTCGTCGGACAGTTGTTACCGTCGTTTGYAATCAAATCGTAGCCAATATTCTGGCGAAAACCGCGACTTTTGATATCCAATCCAAGCAACAGTGGACAGCGGACAAAATGATCGGCCAGTATCGGTTCGGTGGCCGACATATAGTGATAGTTAAATTCAACCGAAAACGATCGCAATTGATAGCGAAATCTATCGAAAAATCGGTCGACAGTCTGGATGCTCAGCGGCCACGATATAGAGCCGAGCGTCAGATGCCGTAATTGATGACAACCGTCGACCACAGTGTCCAGTAGTCGATGTTTTTGGTAGCCGTCGTCCCGCCGACGGAAGACAACATGCGTTACGTTCGGACACTTACGGAGCAACAGTGCGACCGATTTGACGGACATCGACTGCTCGATGGTCAGCGTCTGGACGGTAGTGTAGATCAATCGTTGCCATTGACGGCCAACACTTTCGTAGCAAACTTTCTGGTCAATTGGCAAATAACTTAGCAATAGTTCCACTAAATCATCGCCAAAACGTTCAAAACTGTCGGCCGATATCTGGCGGCGGCGCCTGTAGTCGATGTCGTCATCATCGGTGGCGGCGGTAGCGGTGATTATGGCCATTGATTTCTTCTCAGTGATTGTTGTTTGACTACTTTGTCCGTACATTGTGTGCATGTATACACGGGTCGGGTCAGGACGTGTATAGTAGGGTGCGATAGGATATGATAGGATAGGATAGGTAGCACTCCTACTGATGGTAACGGTATGTATATATATATATATATAACTGACTTTCCCCAGTRRATATCGGTATCAATTCATAATAATAAAATTAATTAATTATAATTAAAAGTATTTAGCAATAAAAAACTTAAAATTAAAAAAAATAAAATTTAAAACAATTTCAKATTCATTCAAATTAATTACAGTTTTTTTTTCATTCAACTATATATACAGTATATCACGCGATACTACTGTACTATTGATATGAATTATAAATATTTTTTGATTTAATCAAGTAATTTTTGTTTTGTTTTTATTATTAATTCAATAGTATAGTTGAAATATTATAAGATATATTAATATTATTATTTTTTTGATCAAATATAYTGTAYTGTACTTAAAGCTATTCAATACTTTAAAAAAAATATTTTTAAAAATTAAAACAAGTTTCAATGATGAAACATTTTTATTGATGATTTTGATTAATAATCAATGATTTATTATCTTATTATATATATATATATATATATATGTATATATATATACAGTACAAGTATAAAATATTTTTTTTTGAGTTTAGTTTAAATAAAACTATTAGCATTTTTTTATATTTTAATAATATATATATATATAATTACTAATACATGTTATATGATTTGAGAAATTTTTTTTACTTYAATATTAATAATTGATTTAATAATAATTAAAAAAAAAGTTTTGTTATTATTAAAAATTTTAACTATTACTATTACTAACTATTACTATTAATCGTTTGGATTGACTCGAGTATTAGTGACCGATTGGTTACCGATAGTCCATCGGTTGGCGGTATTTGTGTATTTGGTGTCCGATTTGATCGACGATTCAGATAAACAACTGCACCGATACTAACCGTTAGGATGACAACAATAATCAGTGAAACTACTGATAAAATAATATACGGATTAATAGTAGTCGTGTTGTCGTCAGCTGCCGTCGGTGTAGTAGTGGTCATCGACATCATCGTCGGGTCAGTGGCTGTCATCATGTTTTCCGATGATGCCGTTGTTTTATCGGTAAACGGTTTACGGGTAGTCGACGGCGGCGGCGATATCACCGAAAAGCATTCACTGATAAACGGTTTGAGTGTTGCCTGTGATCGGCACTGTCTGGATAGTGGCCGGCCTTCAGGTGTCGTACAATACATGGGCCGACCGTTAATGTTAAACCATAGTACATGACCCATGTCCTGATCGTTGAGCTGATAGTCCATTACGTGAAACAATTGATCCATTAGATTGTTGCGAACGGTTGCCATATCGCGGACAAACTGCGGTACTCTGCAGCCGCCCTGTGTCCGACTATCGGTGCTACCGGTGCTTTCAAGCACCGGGCATTCAGATTCACTGTTAATTGATTTCAAATTGATATCATTGGYGGCCGTTATGTAGATCCGAACGAACCGAAACTTTTGATACTTTATATTCCATAGCATCAGATAATTGTTTGGTAATCGGGCGGTCGGTATCACTATCAGTACGTTTGGATTGACTTTAACTAACGGATCCTTATATACCAAGGGTTTTCTAGCCTTATCGCTCATACATTCAGTATAGGTATCTTTACGTTTGATCTAAAATTTTATATATATATATATATATAGATTTACATAATAATTATAATTCAAATTTAAGTAATAGGAAAATACTGTATCAATATATATATATATCAATAAATTCAATACACTATGATATGTCCGACACATAATAATATATCTATAATTAGTATCCCATCCCCGGCCTTCACCGCCAATCTGATAGTCGGTAACCATTAGTTTATCAGTTGGATCCGGTATCCGATCCCATTTGAACACTTGTTTGGGCACCTGTATGTCGTGTGATTGATGATGATTGGCCGTAATCTGGATCCGATAGCTAACCGTATCGTTCAATATATAGTAGTTTGAATTGAATTTATTACTATTGTCGTTGAGTTTCAATTGTTTCATTGACTTAAAGTTGTTTAAATAGTTGCCATCGCGTGTCATATTAGAGCACAGTTGTGTCCGCCATTCATCATCACTGATATGGCTATCATTACATTCATTCATATCTATCATTATAACTATCATTATGATGATGATGACAACCCATATAATGTTAACTGTCCTAAACATATCAACTAATTTAATATAACTTCAAATTAAATTAATATATAATTTATATTAAAATAATTATATTTTATTTTATATTAAAAATACTAACTGTTAAATAGTTAATAAAATATAATTATTATAATATACAATATGTTTAAATAATAATAATAATTAATTAATGCGCGTGAAACTAATGTATAAAAAAATTGTATAAAATATTTAAATATTTAATTATTTTTTTATATTTATTTTTTTATATAGATAAAATTATATTAATTTTCTACATATTGTTTTATGAATATGTAAAACATATAAACAATTTTTTAAACTTTTTATATCTAATGTATAATCTAATTGTATATTATAATTAGTATTTTGATATTTACACAATAATAATAATAATAAATTATAAATTATAAATCAATACTATTATAATTTATAAATAAATAAATAAATAATACAATAATATTTAATGGCAAAAAATACTAAATTTTAAACAAATTATTTATGAATCAATTATACACTTGTCTTATACACTTATATATATATAATTGTTGATTAAAACTATTAGTTTTCTTTTAAATATATATATATATATATATATATATAATATTTCAATATATATTTCAATTATAGTATATGACATTCAAAAATTTTCCAAACAAAAAATATTGATAATATAAATCCTATTGAAACTAAAGTATATTTTATATATATATATATAAATATTTAAATATAAAAACTATTATAATATTATTGATTTTTATTTTAAATAAACACAGTATTAAATTGCTATTACATTATAATATATACAATTCAAAAACATATCAATTTGATTTGATTTAAATTATCTAATTAAATAGATTATTGTACTAGTATAATTTTATTGATACAATAGTTATTATTAATAGTAGTTAATAATAATAATAATTTGTTAGATTAATAAAAACTAAAATCTAAAAAAAACATTTAAGACTTAATCACTTAGACTACTATCTCTTACTGTCGATTGTTTACTACTACTGGTATTATTGCTATCAAAACTTTTTACGGTTTCAATTGATTCAATAATTAACGACCGATTAGTTACCGATAGTCGACCATCTTTTGCTAAGGAAGTGGCCGATTGTGTTGATCGTCGGTTCAGATAAACAACTGCACCGATACTGGCGGTAATTATGATAACAACTATGAATGAAATGATTGCCAAAACAATATATGGATTAATAGACGACGACTGGTTGTCGTCAAGACTTTCGGTGATTGTTGTTGTTGTCGTCGTCGACATCGGTATCGATAAGTTTCCCGATGTCTGTACTGTTGTTGTTGTTGAAGTAGCGGTAATGTTGTCCACCGCTGTCACCACCACAGTAGTCGGAAAGCAGTGGCCGATAAACGATTTGAGTGTTGCCTGTGATCGGCACTGTTTGGATAGTGGTTGGCCTTCAGGTGTCGTACAATACATGGGCCGACCGTTAATGTTAAACCATAGTACATGACCCATGTCCTGATCGTTGAGCTGATAGTCCATTACGTGAAACAATTGATCCATTAGATTGTCGCCAACGGTTGCCATATCGTGGACAAACTGCGGTACTCTACAGCCGCCCTGTGTCCGACTATCGGTGCTACCGATGCTTTCAAGCACCGGGCATTCAGATTCACCGTTAATTGATTTCAAATTGATATCATTGGCGGCCGTTATGTAGATCCGAACGAACCGAAACTTTTGATACTTTATATTCCATAGCATCAGATAATTGTTGGGCAATCGGGCGGTCGGTATCACTAATAGTACATTAGGATTGACTTTAACTAACGGATCCTTATATACTAACTGTTTGTTAGCCGTATCGCTCAGACATTCAGTATAGGTATCGTTATGTTTGATCTAAAAAAAAATAAATGAAAAATAAATAGCAATTATCTATTACTTATAAAAATTATTTGTTATATATATATATATATATATAATTTACACTATGATATGTATGACATATTATAACATATTTTTTGTTAGTATCGGCGCCTATTCCTTGACCGCCGATATCATAGTCGGTAATCATTGTCTTATCTTTATCTATCTTATCCCATATGAACGGCTGTTTGGGCACCTGTATGTCGTGTTGATCAGTGTCACCCGTAATCAACAGCCGATATTGTATAGTATTGTTTAGTATACGATAATTACTATCAAATTTATTACTGTCATTATTATTGAGTTTTAATTGTCTCATTGTCTTAAAGTTCAGATAATGGCCATCCAGTGTCATATTAGCGCACAGTTGTTGAGGCCAGTTATCTGTATAAACCCTGGCCATCATTATAATGACAATAACTATGCTAAACATGACTAAACTGTCCCCTTTTTTTTTGGATACTATTGAACTTTTAAAATATTATTTATGTGTTTTAACAAAATTACAAATTAAACAATTTTTTTGCTAACTTTCAAATAACTCCATAACCGATAATCAATAATAAATTTATTATTGATTATTATTTAAAATAATAAATTTTAATTTTGAATTAATGCCCGCGCAATTTATTGTTTATTATAAATTAAAATTTTATACGATTATTTTATTTATATAATTAAATGCCAATTAATTGTTTAATTTAAATAATTAGAAAAATGATTATTATATAATATATATTTAATAAATTATTTTATATTTAATAAATTATTTTATATTTAATAAAATATTAAAGTTTTTATTGTATAATACTAACTAAATTTTTAATTGTAATTAATGTTACTAACATATAAAATAAAATATATTTTTATAGATATTAATAAAATCATAAAATTAAATGTAATAATAATTATTGGTTAGTAATAATGATATTATATTAATTTTTTTTTATAAATATTAATATACACATAATTATACAGATTGTTAAACAATTATAATAATACAATTATTATAAATTAAATATTAATTAATATTAATATATATATATAATTAATATGCAAATTGTTTTTCAATAGCTATACAATTAACACAATTATTGTCTAGGTTATTTTAACTTAAATAAATAAATATAATAATAAATTTACTAATAAAGTTTATTTAAAAAAAAAATAAAAATAAGTACATTTATAAAATGACATTGCTCAATTCCGATTTATAGATCGTATAAAACTTTTTAATCTGGTCATCGGTAAACTGGCCACCGCCACCATTGGTCATCGATAGTACACCGTCGGGCACTACCGATTGTCCTACCAGTGGCCACTTGTATGTACCGCCCAATTGAATCGGTATCCATTCCGGGGCCAAATATTCGGTCAATTGGGTCGACCTAATCGACCGATATATTTGGCGCAATTGGTCGCTCATAAACCCTATCATTAGCCGGACGGTAGCTTTCAGATGCCACGGCAAGTCTATGGCCAGTATATAACGGGGTCCGCGGGGATAGTATTGGTTGATGACTTCGATTAAATAACGGGTCAACTCCATGTCCACATTGGACATACCGGCACCAGTGCTATCCAATATCAGACCCCAACCACCACGACCTGCCTGACGATCGGCGCACTCAAACTGCCAGACAGTAAACTCCACGAACCGATTCAGCCAATCGCTGCACTTATAATATCTGGATTTCCGATTGTAGACAACTGGCCGTCCATTCAGATCATTACAATAGCGAACCAACGAACCGATTAACCAGAATTCCCGCGGAAATTGTTGGTCATTAAAATCGTTGATACCGTACGACTTGCGCCAACGCATCGACCGTATGAGTCCGTCGATGGCCTCGTCTTCCGTCTGTGTGGTCAACAAATACCGCTCGACTGTCCAATCGTCAGTCAATACCCGTTTCAAGTCCGACGAGTGATAGTCGCCGCCGCTATTGTTATCAGATTTTACTGTTTCAATGAATCGTTTCCTAATCCTATCGATTGTCTCCTTATTATTAGTATTGACAGACATTTTCAAAAAAAAATTTTGTAAAATTTTTTTTGTTAATAATTTATTAATTAATTAATAAAAATATTTTTTATGTTTTGTTAAAGTATTATCTTTCATATGAATAGACAATTTAGTTTAATTTCCAGTCTATACTAAATTTTATTTTTAAAAAATTTAATTAATGTTTATATATATATTTTTTTAAAGTTATAACCAGGGTTTTTGAGGAAATAAATAATCCTGCCCCCTGTCAATGCCCAAATAGATGACATAAAATGTCTGGCATTTTATATTGCTAAAATTCAACTGTATTTTTTTAAAAAAATAATGTTTTACTATTTTAATTTCCAATTAAAAAAATTTTTGTTTTTAGCATATTAATTATATACTAGTATATATACAGTGTATGTAATTAATATACTTATTTACATTGATATTATCTTTTAATTAAAAGATATACAAAACAAAAATACAAACAAATATATATTGATAAAACAATGTTTTTTAAATAAATTAAAAATATATAAAATCAAAATAATAGGTGTCACCATCGGAAAATAGATGCATTTATTGTTTATGGACAGCCATTTTTTAAAACCCTGGTTATAACAGGTAAGTTAAATATTAAATTATTTTTATATTTAAAAAAAACATATGGAGTTTTTCTTTAAACATTAGTTGACCCCCATTTCCAGCACCACTCCCCCCCCCCGACAACAACAAAATATATTTAATTAGTAAATTTAGTAATTATGTAATTTATTTTTATATATTTAATTTTTCAAAAAAAAAATCATAATTAAATCTATTGCATAACTATTTTTTTTTTAAAATAAAAAAACATATTTAATGTAATGCTATTTTACTTATATTATTAGTGTTTATTAAATTAGTTTATTACAATTATAATTATTATTATTAAAGTAATGGTACTATAATAATAAACAACCAAATAGTTAACAATTAATAATTAAGTATTAAGTGTTATATTAACTAAAAAATTAACTAATAAAATGAATATTACAGAAACAATGGGTAATTAATTAATTAATTTAAATAATAAATAAATAAATAATTATTTAATTTCTTAAAAAAATAACAAAAATAATTTAATATTATTCAATAATTTTTATTATTAATTTTAATATTATTCAATAATTTTTTTTAATATTCAATAATTTTATTATTATTCAATAATTTTATTTATTATTCAATAATTATATTATTATTCAATAATTTTATTATTATTCAATAATTGTATTATTAATTTGAATATTATTAAATAATTTATTATTAGTAATTTTAATATTATTCAATAATTTTATTATTAATTTTATTAATTTATAGAAACAAACAAAATTAATATACTGTCCACAGATCCACGTGCCGACTACTATATACTATGTAATAGACCGGAACTATTACTGTCAATCATATCAGTCTATCTGATAATAGTCACCCAAATAGGTCCCCGATTAATGAAACCTAGAAAACCGTATGAATTGACCGAAATACTGGTCGTACACAACGGTCTACTGGTGCTAATCAATGGCTATTTTGTATGGTTGGCCTTAAATTGGCTAGAGTTTGGCCAGAAATCATTGCGGCCGTACGTACCCTTGGATGACCATCAACTAGTATGGACTGACCGGAGCCGCGAAATATTTCACCAGAAAATCCTATATTTTTATACAAAACTTTTGGATTTATTGGATACAGTTTTCTTTGTTTTGAGGAAAAAGTCACAACAGATAACATTACTACATGTTTATCATCATATTTCAGGTTTTTATTTTATTAATTAATTAATTAATTAATTAATTAATTTTTTAATTATTAAAATTATTAAATTTATTTGTTGGTGGTGTTTATAACCCCTACCTAGTAATGGGCAATTAGAAAGTTTCTAATAAATTTCTCCCCATGAGAAAGTTTCTAGAAAATTTTATCAGGGATTGAATTTCTATAGAAATTTCACATTTATTGTTATATTACTATGCGATTCCCATATATAAGCTATATATTGAATTATATATATATAAATATACAATATAATTAATATAGTATATATACAATTAATAAATATTAAATATATAATTAATATAAATATATATATATATATATAATTCAATATATAGCTATTGTTATACCTATAAATATACTAATGATATAATAATACTATACATATATATAATACAGTATTATACTGTACTACTATAATGCATAGATTTTACTGTAGATAATACTATTATACAAAATGAGATACCAATATATATATATATATATACAGTAAATAATTATAATTATTTAATAATAATAATCAGTTTGGAAAAATTTTTTATTTCAATCATTTTGTTTTTATATCATATAGTTTTTATATAATTAAATAAATTGATAATTAAAATACTACTAATAATAATAATTTTATTATTACTTATGAAAATAAAACAATAGAATAGAAATTTATTTATTTTTTAGAAACTTTTTAAAATTATTTTAATATATCATATAGTTTTTATATAATTAAATAAATTAATTAAATTATTAACTAAAATACTAATACTAATAATAATAATTAATTATTACTTATGAAAAAAAGCAATAGAATAGAAATTTTTATTTATTTTTTAGAAACTTTCTAAAATAAATTTTTAACTATTATTTTTACAAAATTTCTCTCTCTCTTTTTTTCTGTCAACACTACCCCCACCCACCCACACCTCCCACTCACCACCAAAAAAATAGCGCCAATATTTGTCTGGATGTCAACCGTCTGGTGTCCTCAAGAGGTTATACTGGAAGTGTTTTGCCTAATAAACAGTTTAGTTCATACAGTCATGTATTTCTATTATTTGTTGGCCGCGTTTGGACCGGTAGTCCAATCGTCTATCCGATACTGGAAACACCATTTAACACAATTACAGTTAATACAGTTTATCATACTATTAGCCTATGATATCTATTGTCTATTCAGTGAAGGTCTGGCCAATTATCCCCAGACATACAAATGGTTTGGTACTCAACAGCCGATTATATTTTTGATTATGTTTTCACACTTTTATATCAAATCGTATACTAAATCTAAATCAAATTAAAATTATTATTATTATTATTATTAAGAGTAGTATTAGTAGTAGTAGTAGTAGTAGTAGTAGTAGTAGTTTACTAAAAGTTAAACATTTTTGTTATTATTATATTGTTTTGTTGTTTATTATGAAATTCAAACTTCTTTTTTTTATAATACAATATATGTCAGAAAATAAAATATAAAGATATAACTGTTTAGATAATATTGTTTATTAATAATTAAATTAAGGGATTAAATTGATTAAAAAAAACGCATAAATTATATATATATATATATATCAATAGTATAATATGTTTTTGATATGCATTTATTTTTATGGGATTTATTTCAACGTTTACTAACTATGAAATCTCTTATCAATTGATAGTTAATTATTTTTTGTTGTTGATTTAATTTAAAAAATTAATTTTTTTTTTGATTAATAATATAATAAACATAAATATTATTTCATAAAAAGTTATATTTTGATATTAAATTTGAATTTTGTTAAATTTAATTATTTTAGTTATAAATAACAATAATAAATATGAAATATCTTATTAAAGTTTAATTTTTTAATATAATTTTTTAATATAATTTTTTAATATAATTTTTAAATATAATTTATTACTATTCAAAAAAAAACTGTAATAATAAATTCATAACAACACATATCAATGGCTATATTTAGAAAAATAATTTTTTTAAAAAATTATGACAAATATATAAATATATATATCTAATAAATTTTTTAAATTTATAAAACATGTGCTATTCTAGATCTATAAATTAAAAATAATAATTATTATCATTATTATGTATTGTATTTATAATAATAATAATAATAATAATAATAATAATAAATATATTGTTTATGAATCTATCAATATATATATATAATTTATTTTCATTTTATATTATAAATTATATATTATTATACAGTATTTGTTTTTATAATATACTTAACAACAAATAATTTTTTTAAAAAAAAAAAATATGTGTGCAATGATTAAATATATATATTTATTTATTTATTGTATAATTCAAAATAATATTTGTATTATAAAAATTAAAATCTATTGCATCTAAAATTAGTAGAATTTATACATCATAATTTATATAAAATATTATTATAATATCAACAACAAAAAAAACTATTAGACATGATATTTTATAATTAATTTTAAACTTAATTTATAATAATAATAATAATAATAGACAGTATAGACAGAAATAAATTAAAAATTTCAAAACTAAATAATTTTTAATTATGTAAACTAAAACATATGCTGTATTGTTATTTGAAAATATTTATCATAATTTAACTACAATAATAATTTTAAAATATTATTTATATATAGTATTTATTTGCATTATAACTGTATAATATTTATTATAGCTTTTAAAATAGTTTTCAAACACTTTTATAAATTGATAATTATTTCTAATTATTATTATTAGTAGACAAAAAAAATAATGATAATTACTAACTATATTAGAAAATTTAATGAAATTATAGGTAAAATAATTGAAAATTTTGTTAAATTACTGATTTGTTTTCCCATTGATCAACACATTGACGGCAATGTATTGGGTATTGAATTGTTTATGCATTATATCCAATACAACAACTCTCTGGTGTCGACCGGTTTTCACGACTATTTTATGGGTATATTTCATTGGAAACGCCGTTTTCTGGCCTACATTCAGCTAATGGTTATTTGGTTACATGTTTTGAAATTTTCAATGGTTTCACTGACCGATAATCTAGACATAAATCTTATTATATTATCTAATCAATTATTTATGTTCAATAAGGGCTATGTATTTGAACTAACAATGGCTGCCATTGTCTTATTGTTGGCAATTATAGGTAAAAATTTTTATATTATAATTATTTTTTATGAAATAAAAAATATATATAAATATAAAAATAATATATATAAATATATAAAATATATATAAATATAAAAAATATATATATATAATATATATAAATATAAAAATATATATAAATATAAAAATATATATAAATATAAAAATATATATAAATATAAAAATATATATAAATATAAAAATATATATAAATATAAATATATATATATAAATATATAAAATATATATAAATATAAAAATATATATAAATATAAAAATATATATAAATATAAAAATATATATAAATATAAAAATATATATAAATATAAAAATATATATAAATATAAAAATATATATAAATATAAAAATATATATAAATATAAAAATATATATAAATATAAAAATATATATAAATATAAAAATATATATAAATATAAAAAATATATATAAATATAAAATATATTATATATATATATTAAAACAATTTATTTTTCAATATCCTATTATTATTATAGGCACCTATTCATTGTATACTGAACAATATGGACAGGCTAAATTTTTAGACCTATATTTTATACTAATAAAACAATCTAGATTAAATTTAACAAAACATAATAGAAAAATTTTTACAAATGGCTGCCTATTTGTATTCAAATATATTTTCATTGTTTGCGAAATTAGCAAATATATTGTCTATATATTGAACATATATTTGTCAATAGTTTTCTATATAACATACCGATCCGATTGTAGTCCAGTATTGTTGATCGTATGGTTTCTAATGGGTTTTATTGCCGCCCGTGGATGTCTAGCCCTATTGGTTATAACATTTTATTTTGTCTATTTAATATCATTGTATCTAACATTACGATTCAAACAAATTTATAGACCACTAGTATCTATTGAAATTACAGGTAATAATTATTTTTTGTAATAACTTTAATAATAAATTTTTTTTTGTATTAAAAAAACCTAAAAATTTATTATCATTTTTATTATTAATTTTATTTTTCTATTGTCTATTGAAACTGCAGGTAATAATTATTTAATTTTTATGATTTTTTTATTTAGTATATTTTATTATTAGATATTAAAACAAACAAACAAAAATATTATTGATTTTATTAATTTTTTTTAATAACTAATAATGAATTTATTTATTGAATAATTTTTTTGGTATTAAAACAAAACAAAAATATTATTATCATTTTTTTTAAATATTTTATTTCTCTATTGTCAATTGAAACTGCAGGTAATAATTATTTAGTTTTTATGATTTTTTTTATTTAGTATATTTTATTATTAGATATCAAAACAAACAAAACAAAAATATTATTATCATTTTTTTAAATATTTTATTTCTCTATTGTCTATTAATTAATTAATTTTTTTAATGATTTTTTGTATATTAAATAAATTATTTTTTTTAAAAATAAGACAAAACAAAAATTTATTATAATTTTTATTTAATTTTTTCTATTATATAGATATTACTAAAAACATAAATTTGCTAATCTATCGGCAAATTGTTGATCACAATAAATGCTGTATAATAACTAATGATATCAATTGTTGGGCTAAAAACATACTATTAGTCTATTACTATATGTTTATACCGGGTCTGGATTTTTGTATTATATTTATCATTTATGAACAAGATCAATTAATGAAATCTATAGGTATAGTTGCCCTGACACTGGTACTCGTGAATATGTTTTTAGTTAATCATCTATTGGTTATGATTGGCATTGAAGCGCATAAATCGTATCGATATATGTCGGCAATGATAGCCCGTTATCCCGATAGCCGATTGATTGAACTGTCCGTACGATTGAAAACCGATAGATTTGTTGAACTACTAAGCGGTCCATTGATTGGCATTTATTGTTGGAAATTATTTCCGTTTACTAACTATGAGTTTTCACAATTGATAGTCATATGTGTCCTACAGTTTACAATGTTTCTCAGATTTGTTATTTAAAGTTATTGACTATATATATATATATATAGTATTTTGCATATTATGTATATATATATATATATATATATATATA